TATTTCCACTAGCACTAGTAAAGACCAAACAATAACTACATATTTCTGTGGGGTAAGTAATGATATTAAAATCCTCTGTAGAAAAAAGTAAAGGTTAGTGTAGTGACAAAACATAGATTGTATCAAATAAACATACAATAGTTCCCAAATTTAAAAACAATCTGATTCTAGAAGGTGAAGATTTCTTAAAGTCTTTATCAATTTGCTCCTATTTATCATAAAGGATGGCACTCTACTGATGCAATGTTTTTACAAACTTAAGATATCCACAATTCAAACCTAGTCGTAAACTTCTCAGCCCCCTGAGAAAAAGCACTGGAGGCAAAACGGCTCTACAGCAGAGATACCTGATTTTGCAAATTCTGAGTAATTTGACTAGGGATTTTCAGGATAAATCTACATATAAATGAAAAAGGAAAGATGGGAGATTGCTATTACTAAACTGAGAGGATGTGAGTGATTTGGGAGATTAACTAAAGTCAGGGATTTCTTTTTGCTTTTTTTTCCTGTTTCATTCATCCAGGATTATTTAAATCCATTTTAAAAGCTTATTTAAAAGAATTAAAAGGCTACATTTCTTTCTTTTTTGCAAACTCAACAAATGAAACAAATAGGCTTGAATTTCTGTGTTTACTTATAACCTTCAGTCACAGTCATGATATATTAATAATTTGTAGGATTTGTGAGCCACACATACTCTTTAAAGCAGGGGTGGGCAAAATGCGGATCACAAAGCCATTTTATCTGCTGCCTGTCATGCGGCTCTCAATGGCTTGACAAAACTCAGTAAGCACCTCTGCCCAAAATAATTGCCCACCCCTGCTTTAGAGAGATGACACAATTGGTCTTGGAGAAGAAAAAGGGTAATTAGGAATATATTGGGGTCATGTGATTAAAAGCACAAGTTTAATTTGGGTAATAAAGAGAAACCTCATTCATTTTGGATGAAAATATCTTTAAAAGGTTAAAGATAAACATCTTTAACAGTTTGGCTAATAGTTTTTGAAGAACTGGTGGCAGTAAGTTACAATAAAAAATTTTATATAAAAGTGAGTTCATTTTTCTTGTTATCTTATGTCACAGCTAATAAGTAGTCTGTTTAAAATTCAGGATTATAATTAACACTGACCTATGATAAATTTTTGTTAATTCTGGAGAGGCAAGGATTTTTTGGGGTGGTATCTTGTGTTGAACCAACTACAAGGTTGGGATAAATTTAGACAAACTTTCAAATACAAGGCATCAGATCCTAAAGAATCCCTTCATCATTGTTGAAAGCTTTGTATGTGGAAGACCAGAAGAACTGAAGATCCTCTTTGGCTATAACTTGATTTAAAACAACCTCTTTCTAAGCTCTCATGTACCTGAGCCCCTGTGCACAAGTTCCATTTCTAGTCTTTGTGAGAGAGTCCCACACATCTCATTCCAAAGCATTGCATGTTCACTGAAGGGTCCTGGTGGGAGTTCAAGTGGCAGACAGAAGATAAATTTAATCTAATTTATGCACTGATGGTCCTTTTTTCTTTTTTGGTAGGCATTCAGCAGATGGCTGTAGGCCTAGCTAATTAAAATAAAAAGCTTTACAATTTTATAATAATAATTTAAGAATAAAGGAAAAATGTTCAAAAGCACAAAAGTGACTCACTGCCTTCCAATGGGATTTAAACACCTAAACTACTTGAAACACTTCTGAAATTTTTATACAGAATAACTTTGAAAATGTGGCTCTCTTCATTAAGCAGTATTGCTTTTAATATAACTGTATAGCCTAAATATGTGCAAAGACTAATACAAGGCAAATATAACCTAAAACCTGTAGATTTTATTTTTTGGCTGTGGAAAAAGTTCAATCCAATTAGGTTTGGATTACCAGGCATCTCTATTTTGTTGGGTGTGACCCCCATCTCCTACTAGGCATCCTCTCCCTGAAAAAAGCCCCATAAAAGGTAAATGTTTAATCACCAAGAGATGTTTTTCATTTCCTCTAGCAAGTCAGGTAGCAGTTTAAATCACTCAGCCTACCCTCAGAGCATTAAGGCCCAGTATCCTCTCAGTGGGCGCATCTACAAGAGAAGCTAAATACACAGTAGACTAATTCTACTCATTAGCATGTCAAAGCAAAAGTCATGCTAATGACATAAAGCACAGTAGAATTAGTCTTCTTCTCAATAGCATCACAAAAAAATTGTGCGCCAGTGCTACTTCACATTCAGTTAGTACCTGTTATTATCAGAGATCCTGGTTTTCTCTGATTTAAAAAAAAATCCCCAGTTTTCAGATTTTAAAAAAGTAGCCCCAAATCCACATTTTTCCCATGATTAAAATGAAGCACCACTCATATACAGATAAATATATAGTGTTGTTTCATTTTAATCACAGGGAAAAAGTGGAGTTGGGGTTACTTTATTTAATCTGAAAATTGGAGATTTATTTTTTATCAGAGACGACCAGGATTCCTGGTTTTTAGAAATACTAAATTGAATGCACAGTAACACAAGGATGCTGAGGGAGTTGGTTCACGTGCTTGCACACTGTCTGTCATCTTTGAAAACTCCTGGTGATTGAGAGAGGTCTTAGACAATTGCAAAAGGGCAAATATAGTGCCCATATTTAAGAAAAGGAAAAAGGA